GAGTCGAGTGACAGTCAGCTCTTGGTTTATTGGCAAGGCATGAAGTAAATCCGGACTGGCTCTCTGGGCCAGGGGAGCCCTCTTTTATGGGATTCCCCTGGCTTGTAATCACACAATTCCATTGGCTGGCAAGACCCTGTTGCTAGTTAGCCAACCAGCAACGGGCATGAAACTGTATGCAGATGGAGAAGGGCAATCATCCTTAATGGGCGATCAATGGTGAAGGGCAATCACCCTTAATGGGCGATCAATGGTGAAGGGCAATCACCCTTAATGGGTGATCAGGATATGCATAGGGGATTAAGGGGGGGAAATACAAAGAACACAACAGTCAGGAAGTTTCTCCTTAATTCCAGGTTGCTTCTCTCTTTGATCAGTTTCCAACATTGCTTCTTGTCCTGCTTTTGGTCCTTTGTGAATAACATGACCCACTCTTCTTGGTGGCAGCCCCTCAAATACTGGAACACTGCTATCATGTCTCCCCTATTGCTTCTTTTCTTTAGACTAGCCAAACCCAAGCCGTTCTTCGTATGTTTTAGTCTTCAGGCCTTTGATCATCTTAGTTGCTCCTCTCTGAATTTTTTCCAAACTCTCAACAACTTTTTTGTGATATGGTGCCCAAAATTGGCTGCAGTATTTCAGGTGTGGTCTTACTAGGGTTTTATAAAGCAGTACTAATACCTCGTATGATTTTGATTCTATGTCTCTGTTTATACAACCCAGGATTGTATTAGCTTTTTTGGCTGTTGCTGCACACTGCTGGCTCATAGTCAAGTGATCGTCCACTAGGACTCCAAGGTCCCTCTCACAGCTACTGTTTTTGAGCTAGGTCTTGCTCAATCTGTACTTATACCTTTGATTTTTCCTGCCTAAATGTAAACTTTGCTTTTCTCCACATTGAAACTCATTTTGTTGAATAAGGCCCATTATTCAAGTTTGTCAAGATCTTTTTGGATCATGAGTTTGTCTTCTGGGATGTTGCTACTCCTGCCAGTTTGGTGTCATCTGCAAATTTGATGAGTTCCCCTTCAATTCCCTAATCTAAGTCATTGATGAAGATATTGAAGAGTACTAGGCCTAAGAAGGAACCTTGTGGTACCCTACTGCTTACTTCTCTCCATGTGGATGTAGTACCGTTGAGGACTACTCATTGAGTAAGGTTTGCTAGCCAGCTACAGATCCATCTGGTGGTGATCTTGTCTATTCCACCTTTTTCTAGCTTACCAAGGAGTAGGTCTACTTTATCAAATGCCTTACTGAAGTCTAAGTATACTACATATTTCGCTGGTCTGTTAGTTTAGTCACTTTGTCGAAGAATGAAATAAGATTGGTTTGGCATGATCTGTTTTTAACGAACCCATGCTGGCTACTAGTTATAACTTTGTTTGCTTCTAGTTGTTCCCATATCTGTTTTTTGATTATCTTTTCTAGGATCTTCCCAGGTTTTGATGTTAAACTGATTCGTCTGTAGTATCCTGGGTCCATTTTTTCCCCTTTCTTGAAGATGGGAACCACATCAGCCCTTTTCCAATCCTTAGGTACTTCCCTGGTGCTCCAGGATTTTTGGAAGATGTGTTGCAGTGGTTCTGAGATAACATCTGCTAGCTCCTTCAGAACTCTGGGATGTAATCTGTCAGGCCCCAGTGATTTATATTCATCAAGGTCAGATAGGTGTTCTCTTACTATTTTCTTGCTTATTTTAATTTTTGTTTCTAGTATGTCTTTTGCAGTTATGTTTTTGGTATGTTGGGCTATAGTTTCTTTTTGTGTGAAGACTGATGCAAAGTCTGAGTTAAGCAGCTCTGCTTTACCCCTATTGCCTGTTATTTCTTGCCATCTTGTCTCTTTATTGGGCCTACAGTTTCCCTTCTGGAAGGAGGGGACTTCATGGTATCCGAAGCAGAACATCCAGATTCAGCACAGTTTTGTTCCATAGCATCAACCTTCTTAACTCTCAAGTTTCGTTTTTCCGCTATGTATTCAAAATAGACAGTGATTTATATGTATGTATGTATGTATGTATGTATGTATGTATGTATGTATGTATGTATGTATGACGGTTATATCTTATCTTGTCTTGTCTTGCCTTGTCTTGTCTATCTTATCTCTCATCTCGTTTTATCTTACCTCACCTCACCTCATCTCACCTCATCTTATCAAAATGCCATTCAATTTAAACAAAACATGATTCCATCCCAGGATTTCCTCATTCTGTTTCTGAATATAAGAGGCAATCAATTCAAGGAACCCTGGGGATTGGACCCATGGTTCCCAGCCTGCTTTACCTGAGAGAAGTTCACCTTGGCTGGTGTGGTATAGCTCATGGTGTTCAACTTGGCAGGCTCTTACGAGATATTGGTACCACTCCTCCTTATCTCTACCTGTTCTGCCAAAGAGATAAAGTGTCCTTTCTTGGACCTCAGCTGGGCACTGCCCTGTTACTTCTTTCTTCTTTGGCTTCTCCTCTCTTGGAGAATCCACATCTTGGTCTTTTGTTGCTAGTGCTTTGGTTTTCAGATCCACTTGTTCTGGGAAAAGAATGCATATGGGATATTTTTTGTTCCACATCCTTTTGCGAGCCAGCCCAGGTGGGAAGAGGAAGACCTGAAAAGTAACAGACAATTTGAAGTCACAAGAGAATCAAGTCACCTTCTCCATGGAAAAGAAGCTTGAATTACAGAGCAACCTTTTCACAACCCAAATGCCATTGCATGACCTGACAATCCCCTCCAGGAATCCTGGGTGTCCTATCTGATGAACTTTGGCATTTGAATCCCATGAAACCTTGCCTTAGAATGCCCAAATTCTGTGATCTCATAATAATAATAATTTTTATCCTAAGACATCTCCCATAAAGTTCCCCAAATCTCACAAGAACGGATCACTCAGTGAGTTCTGAGCCATTCCAATTTTAACTTCACTTTGAGACAGTTTTGTGGGGTACTTGCTGCCTGATCATCCTATTTTATAAGTATTTTATAAAATATGTTTGAGAAGTTGGTATGACAGCTAAGAAACTAAAGCCAAAGGCAAAATAAATGCTGATAATGTGGAGCACTTAAACATTTAAATTAAATAATCTTCCTTTTGACTGGATGTCTTTTTAAAAACCCAGGATCCAGCTTGAATCAGTGCAGTAGGTAGAGAAGGATTTTAACCCCTTCTGGACTGCGCTAGAAGAAAGGCTTCATTTGCAGAAAGGAATGGGAGATCTTCCCGTGGGATCTCAAATGCCCCCAATTGATCTAAGACTGAACCATATCTGCAGTTGGGGGATGGAAGGATGAAAGCTCTCCTGGCCTTTCCACCAAATTCCCAATCTGTACTTACTACACATGTCCACCGCCCTGTCAGATACGTTGTTGACGAATCTTACCTTGGCTCCACTCATATCATAAAGTTGGTGGGTCACAAAAGCCACCTCAAAGTTCTCTTCCCTAAAGGTGGCCCGCCGAGGGATGCTGGTTTGGGGATATGAAAATGTCAGGCTGGAGTTTTCTAAGGTCACAAATATGGAATGGGTAAGAGAAGGATGATAAATCTCAGGGTCATAAAAATGCATTTCGTTCATCCAACCCTGGAAAAGAACAATTAATTTTAGTCAGGGAATGTCTAAAAGAAGAGTAAAAACTTATCTGTCACTATTCTGTTTGATATTATTTATTGATCTGCATTTGCTGGAATAAAAGAAGCAACTTTCACATTCACTTTAATGTATTTCTTCAAAACTACAGATGTGGGCAACCTGAAAGTCCAGTTCCTGAAAAACATCTCAAAGTTCTTTTCTCCATTCCCTCTCCTCTTTCTGACAACTGCAGAAGCCAGGTCCTGCCCTATTGATAAAAGAACACATTATAGTGTATGTATGTATGCACAGAGCCACCACATGGTTACCCACCTCCACATTAAAATCAGTTTTGCATGAAAAAAAAGTCCCAGAGAAATTTGGCTGCATATTTTTCCTAACAATATAATGAAAGAGAATCTGCTTCCTACATTTCGGCCTGAATGTCTTGACTTGCATTTCATCACTGTTTCTCCATCTCTTTGCATCTACTTTGGCTATCTACATTTCCCAATCTGATGTCTTCTTTGGGATTTAATGAAGGTACCCTCAAATTATTGCAACCGCTTGGGTAATTTTTCATGGCCAGTCTCAGAGTTTGGAAGTGCTAGAAGGCTATACACTGTTCAAATGAAACAGAACCAATGCAAAAAAAGGGGTAGGAATTGCATTGTATGTGAAGAATTACTATACTTCTACAGAAATACACAATACTAGGGAAGAAATCCTTCTTGAAAGTATTTGGGTGACTATTAGAGGCAAAAGAAATGACATTGCTGTTGGTATTCATCATAGGCCAGAATCAGAATCAGAATAGAGCTGGAAGGGACGTTGGAGGTCTTGTAGTCCAGCCCCCTGCTCAAGCAGGAGAACCTATACCATTTCAGACAAGTGACTGTCCAGTCTCTCCTTAAAAATCTCCAGAGATGGAGCGCCCACGATTTCTGAAGGCAAGCTGTTCCACTGGTTAATTGTCCTCACTGTTAGGAACTTTCTCCTTAATTCTAGGTTGCTTCTCTCTTTGATCAGTTTCCAACCATTGTTTCTTGTCCTGCCCTCTGGTGCTTTGGTGAATAATGTGACCCCCTCTTCTTTGTGGCAGCCTCTCAAATACTGTAATATTGCTATCATATCCCCCCTAATCCTTCTTTTCTCTAGACTAGCCAAACCCAAATCCTGCAACTGTTCTTCATATGTTTTAGTCTCCAGGCCTTTGATCATCTTAGTTGTTCTTTGCACTTTTTCCAAAGTTTCAACATCTTTTTTGTAATGTGTGGTCTTACTAAGGCTTTATAAAGTGGTATGAATACTTCACATGATTTTGATTTTGTGCCTCTGTTTATACAACAAGGATTGTATTTAGCCTTTTTGGCTGCTGCCGCACATTGCTGACTCATGTTTGAGTAATTGTCCACTAGGACTCCAAGGCCCCTCTCATAGTTACTGTTTTTGAGCCAGGTTTTGCCTAATCTGTATTTAAACCTTTGGTTTTTCCTGCCTAGGTGTAAAACCTTGCTTTTCTCCAGATTAAATTTCATTTTGTTGGATAGGGCACATTGATGAGTTCCCCTTCTATTCCCTCATCTAAGTCATTTATGAAGATATTGAAGAGTGCTGGGCCTAAAATGGAACCTTGTACTACCCCACTGCTTACTTCCCTCCATGTAGATGTAGTACCATTAAGGACGACTTGATGAGTACGGTTTATCAGCCAGTTACTAATCCGTCTGGTGGTGATGCTGCCTATCTAGCTTACCAAGAAGTAGGTTTTGGTCTACTTTGTCAAATGCCTTGCTGAAGTCTAAATATACTATGTCCACAGTATTTCACTGGTCTACTAATTTAGTCATTTTGTCAAAGAATGAAATAAAATTGGTTTGGCATGATCTGTTTTTAACAAACGTTATTTGTTTCTAGATATTCACAGATCTGTTTTTTTATTATTTTCCCAAGTATTGATGTTAGGCGGATTGGTCTGTAGTTTCCTGGGTCTGTTTTTTTTTCCTTTTATGAAAATGGGAACCACATCAGCTCTTTTCCAATCCTCTGGTAATTCCCCAGTGCTCCAAATTTTTTAAAAGATATGGTGCAATGGTTCTGAGATAACATCTGCCAGCTCCTTCAGAACTCTGGGATGTAGTCCATCAGGTCCTGGTGATTTATATTCATCAAGATCAGACAGGTGTTCTCTTGCCATTTTTTTTTTTGCTTATTTTAATTTTTATTTCTACTCTGTCTTTTACAGTTATGTTTTTGGTAGGCTGGGCTATAGTTCCTTTTTGTATGAAGATGGATGCAAAGAATGAGTTAAGCAGCTCTGCTTTCTCTCTGTTGCCTGTTATTTCCTTGCCATCTTCTCTCTTTAGTGGACCAACTGCTTCTTTGACTTTTTTCTTGTTATTAATATGTTGAAAGAAACTTTTTTTTATTATTTTTGATTTTTGTTGCAAGTCTTTGTTCATTTGGAGCTTTTGCTTTCCTGACTTCATCTTTGCAGATTCAGGCTATCTGCTGATGTACTGCCTTAGTTATGTGTCCCTCTTTCCATTTTTTGTACTTATCCTTTTTGTCTTTCAGTTTATCAGAGAGATCTTTGAGCAACCATGCTGGTGTCTCACAATACTAGGGAAGCCTTCTTGAAAGTATTTGGATGAATATTAGAGGAAAAAGAAATGACGTTGCTGCAGGTGTTTATCACAGGCCCCTTAGCCAAGAGGAGGAAATAGATGAACTCTTTGATAGTCAGTTAACTAATGTGTGCAGGAAACTCACCATTGTAATAATGGGGGACTTTAACTACCCCAACATCAACTGGGAAACAAATGCTGCAGTGAGTGGGAAATAGAACAGGTTTCTTGCATTCCTGGCTGACAACTTTGTCACTCAAAAGGAGGTGAGAACTAGAGAGTCAGCTCTACTGGACTTAAACCTTACTAATAGGGATGAAATGATTGAAGGAGTGGAAGTTGTAGGAACCTTGCAGGAGTGACAATGTCATACTAGAATTTGCCATAATGCAGGCACAGGTGACTGAACAAAGTCACTTGAGAGTTTACGAGAACTGACTTCAACAAACTAAAAGAAAAAATAGGAAGGATTCCATGGATGGAAATCTTAGGAAGAAAAACAGTTCAGGATTTATTTATTTATTTATTTGAATTTATTTTCCACTCATCTTGTCACAAACGATTCTGGGTGGCTAAAGTGGCGTAGCATGAATGGGAAACTCTGAAAAACGAAATACTAAAGGCGAAAACAAAAACAATACCACAGAGAAAGAAAAACAACAGACACCAGACAAGACCAACATGGTTGCAGAAAGAGCTCTCTGGCAAGAAGGAAAAGTATAAAAATAGAAACAGGGTCAAATAATTAAAACAGGTCTTCAAGAAAAGAAACTGGATGGCCATTTGTATGGGATGTAATGGGATCTCTTGCCTGGGGCAGGGGGGTGGACTGGAAGACCTCAGAGGTACCTTCCAGCCCTAGGATCCCATGATTCTATGAAATAATTTCTTCTCTGTGTCAAAATAGGCCCTCCGCTTCCTTCTCATTAATTAAAAAATGATGCACACCCCCCCAAAAAAATGGATGGTCCCAATCCCGAGAGCCTTCTGTACAGATTCTTCCCATCAGGTACTAGGTTGGGAAGCAAGCCGAGTCCATCCAGAATTAAAAGCTTTTCAGTAGTTATAGTAGGATTTGGCCTCAGTTATTTAGTTATCCTTCTGTTTTGCTATTCAGTCAATCTAGCTTTAGTTCTCAATGTTTCTTGTGGTTGTTTTTAGTTACTTTTTTATGCTTCTATCCAATCTGCTCAGAGCTGCTTTTCCAAGTTAGGTACCACACACTAAAGCTGCAATAAAGTGATGGTTATTTCCTCTCCCCCATTTCTTCTGCCTCCCTACAGCCCTGGCATAACCTGGGGCAGACTCCACCAATCCATGGTCACTGGGCTAGGTTGGACAACAATTCCCATTATTCCAAGCCAGCCCTGGTTCAGTGTCCTGCCAACAATCACCCTAAATACCTATAAGTACATATCAAAGATGGCAACTTGCTCAGAAAGCTTGTAGCTGCAGTGATTGCATGCTGGCTTGGAGGAGACCACGAGAAATGTTTGTGTCAATTGTATCAAACAGATAATTTGCTCTTTTGGCTGATGGAATTCAGTTTTCCCACTGAAGGGTCTCTGCTGGCCATGGAGGAAAATCCTACAGAGGGTTATCAAATAACAACAAAGTGTTTATTTGATATAAACAAATAAAACTATTTAATGGAATCCTATGCATAAATTCAAAATTTATGCAGAATTTTCTCAGAATTTTTCAAGGGAACGCTCATCCGGTCTTGCTTCAATCTCTAGCACTATTAGAACTAAATATTCTAAATTTTAAAAATAGCAACATCTTTCATTTTTCTTTTCTCTTTTTCACCTTAAAGCTGAATAATTAGAAATAATTTATCTCCATGAAACATTTCAAGTGTTGAGGAAGGCTGTGGCTGGAGTATTGGCATGCTGGACTTCAGGGGACTATGGGAAAGGGACACTATTGTGTGTCAAACGGGCTATACAAGTAGTCTTCACTTTATGACCACAATTGGGATTGGCAACTGTCACATCACTAAGGAGACATCAAGTGACTCCAATTCACAATTTTATTGCTGACTTCTCCATTGAGTCTGCTTGTTGTAGCCCAGCTGTGAAGCACACAAATGGTGGCTGATCATGTGACTGTGACACTGCAATGGTCATAAATGCAAGGACTGATTGCATTTTCAGCACCACTGTAACTTTGGCAGTTTACTAAACAGAGCAGTTTAGTGCTCTGCCTGAATTTGCTTTCTTGAAGAAACTCAGCCTTCCGTCATCGTATCCCTTTTCCTATATAACCAAAAAGAGTCAGTTTTCTAAAGAAACTCAGAAGCCAGAAGCCAGCCAAGCCCTCCGGGCCTCCTCCCACTGATCCCAAAGAAACACCAATGACCCCACCCTACCTTGAGCACCTGGGGCTCCCATGGCTGCTGAGGTGTCGCTTGCAAGGGCAGCATGCCCTGAGGAGGGGGGCTTTTCTGTGGAGACAGGGCACGCTTTGGCACCAGCAGCAAAATAACCAGGAGACCAAGAAGGAACCCAGAGGCTAAGCCAAGGCAGAGGCCAGAAATATAAGGAGGCAAAGGGAGGACCAGGTAATTGTAGGCCAAGATGGCAATCCAGGTGAGAACTTTACACGGCACTGGGCTGCAACACCTGGGGGGCTGGACTGGCCCAAGAGGTGAGAGAGTCCGCATTTTGCCAGTGGCCTTGCTTTTTTTCTCAGCCACCTCAGCCACCTGGAAAGCATCCCCATAGGGGCCCTCTTCATGCTGGCAATTTGGAGAAGAGTCCCGCTCTTCCATTTCCCCTCTCCCCGATGAAATGGTCTCAGTCCAATCTGTCTTTTGGAGGGGATATTCCAAATTGCTCTCCAAGATGGGAGACTCCCTGAGGCGATGAGAAAGGAAATCAGGACCCTGCTGGTGCCCGGAGAGGGGTAATCGGAGCTTGGGGGACATATTATTCTCATCCCCAATCATTTTGCTGAGCCTGCTGAGTGGCTCCTGCATGGCTTCTGAAAACCTCCTTTTGGTGTCCTCAAACTTGGCTTCCTGAGTCTTGAAGAAGCTGCCCTTGCTCTCTGAAGGAGAACGGTTGGGAGATGATGGAGCAGTCCTGGAATCGCCATTTTTGTTTTTGGGTTGGGTGATTTGTCGCCAGAGGTGAACGTTGAGCTTAGAGTCTGATTTGGATAGCGACACCTCAGTCTCCAAGCGGGAAATTTCAGTGGAAATGGATTTGACCAAGCTCAACAAAGGTTGGGATTTGAGAGATGGGCTTTCCTGGGACTCAATTTCAGTTGAGAGGGATTTCACCAGATTGATTAAGGGTTTGGGACTGTGTGAGTTTTCCAGGCCAGTTGATCTCTGAGATGCTGAGTGAGTTGGAGATGGGGAGTGGGAAATGGGGAGCGCAGATGAGAAATCTGATCCAAGAGGAAACAGAGGAGAGGATGAGCCACAGAAGGCAGGCTCTTTGTGCTCATCTTCCTCAAAGAAAAAACTGCTGGCTAAATTTGGAGCTGGAGTTTCCTCATCATCTAAGGCAAAGATCAGCTCGTTTCCATATGCATCTTCCCACACAATGTCTTTTCCAGACTCAGCAGCTGAGCAATGGCTTAATCTTTGGGAAGGATGGCATGTTTCTTCCCAGGAATGGGAAGGAATATTTGCTGCAGAAGGATCTGAAGGCATCTGAGGATGGTCAGTCATCTTTCACATGCTCCCTGGGGCTGAGCCTATGGAATGGGAACAAATACAGATGCTGAGAAACTTTAAATTCCAACCCAAATTCCTTCAAAACAGCCATTTATTCATTTATCATGTACATGTTGACCTCTCACATCCCAAAGTAATACTTGTGATGCCATTCGGCAGATATGCTCCAATTAAATTAATTTTTATTAATTTTAGATTCTCTTAATTAAAAATGGGGGGAGTTCATATTTTGCAAAGCAAAAAAGCTAGCCATGTGCATCATCTTCATTTCTAGTTGTTTCTTTTCTATGTAGGCTCCCTTGAAAGGCAACTTGGCCAGACTCACCTTGCAGCTACTTATTTTTAGTGTGTGAATAATTTGATCATAAATTCAGAATGTGATCACTGATTCCATAAATATAGAGAATAATAATAATAATAATAATAATAATAATAAAATAATAATAATAATAATAATAATAATAATAATAATAATAATAATAATAATAATAATAATAATAATAATAAAAGTTGGAAGGGACCTTGGAGGTCATCGAGTCCAACCCCCTACTCAGGCAGGAAACCCTACACCATTTTGGACAAATGGCTGTCCAGTCTCTTCTTAAAAACTTCCAGTGTTGGAGCATTCTTTATATTCATGTATGTTGTGGGAATATGTAAAAAGGGAGATTCCTGGGTCAGGATGGGGTGGATCACAGCATTTTTGTGATTGTGGCTTTCCCAAAGCATCTTGGGAACTGCAGTCTAATGAAGGTATTACACAGTGTGGAGGTTTATGTTTTGTTATCAATCTAGAGATTCCGAGGTTCCATGAAGAGAGAGAACAGCTGACTATATAATTTTAAGCCAGAATTTCTAACCACTATTTGCTGAACAAGCTGCAATAGCCTGGTGTATTCATAATGCTTACCCATCTACAGGAATGTCCCCACTCCATTAAGTAAAAAAAAAACTTTATTGCTACTTATCACATAAATCAGTCTTGTGTCATGGTTCCGACAGACAGAGACGAATAAAGCAGAACTCCAAGGCTTGCAAATTCCTTAAAGAATATGTTTATTAGTTACAAAGTATAAGCGCGGTCAAGAGTGAAACCATGTCTGGATACACAAGTAACAATTTTCCAATACAAAGTTAAATGTCCCACCCATAAAACTATGCAAGCGACTACGTTCCCCAATATGATTATTTGGTGGGCTTTTTATGCAATGCCCAGTCCCTAGTCTTGGGAGCAGCTGATAACCTTGGTTCCCACGGGACAAAAGATTATTTTAAATAACGAAGCACCTGGGCAACCCCCCTCTCTCCATTCTATAAGGCAACCTAGAATGAGAAGGAAAATGGCTGCAGCCATGCTCATTTGTAGATATGACAGTTGGCTCCTCTCAGAAAGAAAGAGTCTCCTGTAGGGGAAACAAAAAGCAGGTTAAGTATTTCCTTGAGGCTTGGGAGAATATTTATCGTAGACCATTTTTATTAATCTCTGCTTTCACATTGGTACATTTCACCCATGTAGATTCTGACAGTGGATAGCCTCTCCACTGAACGAGGTACTGTAACTTTCCCTTGTATAACCTAGAATCAATAATTCATTTTATTTCATAATGTGTCTCCCCCTCTACCACTCCTGGACCTGGCAGCTTCTTTGGGATAGGTCTTAAAGAGGATTCTGACACAGGTTTCAACAGACTACAATGAAACACAGGGTGAACTTTTCCCAACAGTCGCGGACGTTTTAATTCCACTGTAACAGGGTTTATGATCTTAGTGATGGGGAAAGGACCAAGGAACTTTGGCCCCAATTTTCTGCTGGGTAACTTTAATCTTAAATATTTTGTTGAAAGATAAACGAATTGCCCAATGCGAAAAGGCTTCTGAGGGTAGTGTCACTTATCTGCTTGCTCCTTGTAAGCCTTGGGGGCCTTGGTCAATGCTTTCTTCACATTCACCCAAATTCTCTGGAAGGATGTCATCCATTGATCCAAAATCTGGGAAATAGGAGGCTCCTGGGGGTACTCAGGCATGGGCACAAGATCTCAACCCGTTACTATCTTAAATGGGGTGAGTCCAGTGCTACTGTACACAGCGTTATTGTAGGCTGCCTCTGCAAAAGGCAGGAGATCAGCCCAATTAGTTTGCTGGTAATTTACATATCTGAGGTACTGATCCACCATTGTGTTAGCTTTTTCAGCAGCTCCATTGGTATTTGGATGAAAAGCCGATGAAAGCCCCTGGGTGGTCCCAACCAGTTTAAGGAACTCCCTCCAGAACTTTACTATAAACCGGACCCCCTGTCAGAAATAATCCACTTCGGAGCTCCATGGAGCCGATATATGTGTTTCAAAAACATCTTGGTTAACTTCTGGACAGAGGGAAGTCTGAGCAAGCCACTATAAACTCCATGGTTATTTCCTCTCAAGGCTGGGAAGGGTCAGCCACTTGTTGCAGCAACCCTGGAGGTTTCCCAGAATGTCTTTTTATTGCAGCGCAGGTAGCACAGTTCCTCATGTAACTCTCAATGTGTCTTTTCATCCCTGGCCGTACTAAATGCAATGTTTTCAGGAACCCAAAGTGACCCGCCTGCTTTGCATCATGACTCCACTGAAGGGTTTGGAGTCTGAGGTCATCTGGGAGGTATAACTTTCCAGGCTAGTCATCCCCCTAGGGTTAAAATAGGTTTGTTGTTTTTGAACCTGTTTTTACTTTGGCAGGGTCCATCTCTATCCCCTCATTTGAAATCAGATACCTCAGATAATCAAGATGTGTCTGGTGAAATTCACACTTTGACAGTTTGGCTTTTAATAGTCTCTTTAGCACCTCATGGACCAATTTAATGTGTTCTTCCATGGTTTTGGTGTAAATAAAATTGTTATCAAGATAAATCAAAACCCCTTTGTATAAATGATCATGGTGCATTGATTTATCGATTGCATAAACACAACTGGGGCCCCCTGCAGTCCAAAAGGCATCACTTTAAATTGGAAACTCCCCAAAGGGCAATTGAAAGCGATTTTCCACTCGTCCCCCTCCTTAATCCGGATTCAGTAATAAGCCTCTTTTAAATCCAGCTTGGTAAAAAAATTTCCTTTAGCCAGGTGGGTTAACATGTCCTTCAACAGGGGGAGGGGGTACATATTTTCTATACTGACACATAATCTAAGAGATCCATCTTTCTTTTCCTTGAATAACATGGGAGCAGCCACGCGTGATTTGGCTGGCTGAATGAAAACCCGAGTTAAGTTTTTATCAATGTACTCTCTCAGCTCTTTCATCTCTCTGGGTGTCATAGAATACATCTTTGATTTTGGGAGCTTGGCACCGGGCAGAATTTCAATAGCACAGTCCGTAGCCCGGTGGTGGGGGAGGATGTCACATTCCTTCTCACTAAATGCTTCTGCCAAATCATGGTACTCAGCTGGGACAAGTTGAATTCCCGGCAGCTTTTCGGCTCAGTCTTTAGGGTTTCACGGGGCTCCCCTTGAATCTCGCTGATGGCCAGTGTCTTCATTTTATTGTCAGCGGCAGGTGGAAGGGGTCCTGTCCCCAGTCTTAATTTCCGCATTCCCTCCTCCCACCAGATGTTGGGACACCTTTATCAAGCCATGTTAGTCCCAAAATTACTGCTTCAGTCAACTTCGGAACCACCACAAAATGGATGATTTCCCAGTTCTGACCCATTTCCAAACGCACAGGTTCTGTTAGGTGCGCGGCAGGAGTACCCCCAATGAGGGACCCGTCAGCTTGCTCAAACCTCATGGGTAGGGGCAGTAGTTTGGCTCAGATGCCCAGTTTGAGTACGGTGGGTGTTAATTAAGCATCTATTAGGATGTTCAAGCTCATACAAGCCCCTGTTTTGGGCACTACTAGCCTAGCTGGAATGGCAAAGGAGGGAATGGACTGACTCACCATGGAGTCCTCCTTGCCTTCCTCATCACTGTCATAAGGTGCCGGCATCTGCTGTGGCTCGGATCAGGTTTTGGCCCCGAGCTTGGTGGGAGGGGAGGCCTTGATGATTGGGTCCTGATGTGCCCAGAATGACTTTCCTCTTCCCCCTCTGGGAGCTTTTCGTGGCTTTGCGGTGACGACTGGCACGCTCCTGGGTTGAAGGTTAGGAGCTGGGCACTCCACAACATGGTGACCCATCTGACCGCACCGGTAGCACTTGATAGGAGACCTGGCTGGTGCTTGGGAGACACTGGTGGCCGCAGTGGCTTGGAAATGGCCATAAGGGCATTTCTCCTGGATGCGTGGTGGCTTGCCTGTGCTTGACTTTCTGGGGTGGTCCAACTCGATGTCTAGCACCACGGCCATGCTGTACCACCCACACAATAGGTTAGGAAACCTCCGAATGATGCAGGCTTGAAGTAAGTCGCGATCTAGCCCTTGCTTAAAATAGCTGATCAGTGACCACTCTGGCCACTGCCCCAGCCAACCAGGAACTCTTCTGAATTCATAAATGTACTGCTTAGCAGGACAGCCTCTTTGCTTCAGATGGTGGATCTCCTTCTTGGTCAGCAGGGCCCGGGATTCATCTTTAAAACTACCCCTCAGTTGCTCCATGAAATGGTTAATATTGTGCAATTCAGGAGCCCCTTCATTGTGGAGGTTGGTCACCCAGTCAGCCGCTTCCCCCTCTACATTTGTTGCCACAGCATTCACCATCATAGCCCCATTCAGGTAGGCATAAGCATAGCGATCTAAATGAGCCCACACCTGATTTAGGAAGAAGACTATCTTCTTGGGGCCCCCATCAAAGGTGGGCTTGATGGGAGGCAGCTCGAATCTCGGCGGAGCCGCTTGCACCTGCTGCTGGGCTTGGGTGGCTTGCTGGTCCTGGGGACATGGCCAAACCACTCTCTGGACTTCCCTTGACTGGTCTTTAGGACTGGCATCCTGAGGCTGCAGCAGCAGGCTTGGCTGGGATACAGGGCTTGACATCACAGCTGGCTGGGGGATGGGCGAAGCGGCACAGGCTCCAGCAGTCAGGCTGGGACTCCGGCGAGGGGGGGAAGAGATGGGTAGCTCTTGGCACCCCCCCCCCCCATGGCACCTACCTCCTAGGCAACGGGAATCGTAACCTTTACCTGCAGCCTGCCGAACTTGTCCTTCAGCTGTCCGAGCAAAGGGCTGTGGACTGTGGACTGAAACCTCCACTCTCCAGAATCATCCCATCCCATCAACCCCTTTCCTTTCTTACTATCCGCAGATGAAGAACTCTGGGACGGCAGCAATAGGAGCTCCTCTCCAGCGGTTACAGAAGTGCTCCTGCACTGAGGGACAGTCTCAGTTTGATAGAGGTCCACCAGGATTATAGCTCTTTCCTGAGGTACCAGTTTCCCAAGTTGGATTAACCTGGCCTTTGACCGAGTCCCTGCCAGTGATGCCTCCTCAGTGGTTGGAGTGCCAGCTTGCGCTCCAACAGTTGGAGTTCCATTGCAGCTAGCAGTGGTTTCACTCTTCTCCTCCATTTTGAATCTTCACCAAGTGTTTATCACTCTCCCAAAAGTGAGTGAGTAGGCAGTCGGGGCCCAGTACCCCAAAAAACAAAGTTTTTAGGAGACTTGGTTTAATGTCATGGTTCCAACAGACAGAGACAAATAAAGCAGAACTCCGAGGCTTGCAAATTCCTCAAAGAACATGTTTATTAGGTATAAAGTATGAGCACGGTCAAGAGTGAAACCAAGTCTGGATACACAAGCAACAATTTTCCAATACAAAGTTATATGTCCCACCCATAAAACTATGCAAGCAAGTACATTCCCCAATATGATTATTTGGCAGGCTTTTTATGCAATGCCCAGTCACTAGTCTCGGGAGCAGCTGATGACCTTGGTTCCCACAGGACAAAAGATTATTTTGAGTAACAAAGCACCTGGGCAACCCCCCCCTCCATTCTATGTGGCAACCTAGAATGAGAAGGAAAATGGCTGTAGCCATGCTCATTTGTAGAGCTGACATCTTGCTTACTTGCTTTCTCAATTTCAAAATTAGATCCGAGAAAATGATTAACAACCAATTCTGCACCCACACTGTTTTGGAGTATAAGGAGGCCCCCCCCCCCCCAGGAAATCAGGCAGGAAGGAAAACCACCCTAAGAAATAGAAAAAAACTTTCCACAACATAAAAATCAAACTGCACTCTCTCACTCACTAGGAAAACCGCTGTCAAGTATCCATGGATGAGCTACTTTGTATATCATTTACAAACGCAAAGCACTTATTGAAAGCGTATACCAATTGTCTGGAACAGCTCCATTCAGAGGGAGAAAGTGCCACCAGCTATATAGCCTATTCATAAGCAGTACATTGCTGACTGTAGGTTTTGCAAGAAGCCAAAGGCTAAAGGGATTAAAACACAAACAATAACATTTAATCTACATTCCCCTGCTTGACCTGAAAGGTAAGATATGACCCCTCAAACTCAATAGGAGCTAGCCCACCACAATTAGAATATTAAACGGCACACATTTAAGTCTATTGCACAACGAACCTGGATATCATAATCACAAAGCCCAGAAACCATATAAAAATCCGTCTACTTACCAAACCTGGTTGTCAGCTGTCCCAGAACCAATGCTGTGTCAGTTTGCTTTTGAATAAGCCAAACCTCCTTTCTAGCAGCTGGCTCTGATCTCTTTATTTCTGCTAAGGTGGCATTTCTGCTGCTCATTTCCCGGCTGTAAGGACAAGCCCGGAATTCAACTTCCAACAATTTTGGCAACCATGAAGAGACTCCAGCTAACCTATCTTACAGATCAGGCCTGGGTAAGCCTTCACCTAGCCCAGTGGTGGCGAACCTATGTGGCACACGTGCCAGAGGGGGCACTCAGAGCCCTCTCTGTGGGCACGCGTGCCGTCGTCCCAGTCCTAGGTCTTCAGTCCTGTCCATCTGAGCAACCTGCATCAAAATCTCCCTGGGCAAGTGGCTTTTTAAACTGGGTTTTATAAAACCTTTTCGCTTTAGGCAGCCCGTATGCCAAACTTCGCTTGTTTACTCTCACTGCCTTTTTCCCCCCAGACCTGAAGACACAACCTGCGCATCTCCTAAGCTGATGCTTAATCAGAAAGTTGCCCAGACCCTGCCCCGAGGTAAGTGGCCGAGGCTTTGCCACACCCAGAGCTTCAGCAGTGGATGAGAGCTGCCTTTTAAACAAAGGTGGGGGGGGGAAGGGAGGGGGAAATTCTTTGGACTGTAGCTTTTCTCATACTCGCGTTCCCTCTGTTTTTAATCCCATGAAGTTGTTTGGTTATTTTATTAAGCCATTGGTGGTAGCCTTCATAGCGCTATTAACATCATGGTCTGTTTAATAATTTTACGCAGTTAGCTCCCATCCCCTCACTCCCCCCATCACTTCTGCTGAGGTACATCTTGGTTCCTGTTTATTCATGCTTATCCTGCCTTTATAAATAACTCAAGCCTAATACTCTTTCCTCATCCTATTTTCCCCACAGCAACAACAACCCTGTGAGATGAGTTCGGTTGTGACTGACCTAAAGTTCATGCCTAAAGCGGGACTAGAACTTGCAATCTCCCTGTTTCTAGCCTAGTGCTTAACCAACAACCCAAATTGTGTTTCATGTTGTCACCTTGTGGCTCCCTTTTTGTAATTCGAGCAATGGAAGTGTTTCTTTATTATTCCTCTGAACAGATCAGCTTAAAAGAAAGAACTCTTGATTGTGAGACCATTTTAATCTTTCCATTTAGGATTATTGTAATCCGTGTGATTTGGAAGTACTGTAGCACTTACCTTTTTCCGTCCTTAGCAACACTGAAATTGTTGTTCTCAGTAGTCAGATCCAGGAAGGTTAAAATGATCTTAATTATGTGTTTAGTGGTATCCTTCCCAAAGTAATGATGGGTGTATCATCAGTGAGGAAGAAGCTGGTTTGTGTGCTATATGAGAGGACTGGGATTGTCAGGGGGAACTTAGTATTGGCTGCTGTCCATAGGAACCAACCTGGGTTCCTGCTAATGGGAAAATGAGAGCTTGTATGGATGATTGAGGTCTGCATGCCTCCTGTGTATGGGAAATGTGCACTACACATTCTATGACCTGCGTGAAACACTTGAGAAGATAGAAGGGATGATAAAGGAAGCACAGTTAGTTCTGAAAATGAAATCCTTAAAGTGTGGAATTCTATGCCAAATAATTTTAAGTCAATGAAAGCACTTGGGATTGCTTTCCTTACTTTGTTTGGATCATCTTATGCTTCAGCTTTGAATTATATCAAATCTGACACCAGAAACAGACTAACAGATGACCTGAGTGCTGCATGTGTTGCTCTCAAACTTACAAAGTATGAGCCAAGTTTAGAAAAATTATCAGCATGCATGCGACAGCAATAATCACATTAATTGTTCAAAAGCATGCCAAATGCAAACTTTTACCTTTCAATAAAAAAGTTGTTTGTATCATTGAAAGCTCTGTTATTGTGTTTTCTTTTAAGACAAAAGATGTTAATGTATGAGTTGTTTTTTCTAAACTAAAACCTCAGTATTCAGGTTAAATTGCCATGTTGGCACTTTGCGATAAATAAACGAGTTTTGGGTTTCAGTTTGGGCACTCAGTCTCTAAAAGGTTTGCCATCACTGACCTAGCCGGTAGCAGGCTTCTTTGTCGATGGGTGTCTTTGTCTTTGTCTCTGGACCCTGCCTGCTCAGATAAGAGTAGTAAAGGGAGTTGTGGGATTTTTGAACCTGACGGCTGCTTGAAAGGAGGTGAGTACCACTAATTTGTTAAGGTTTTCCAAGGCCCATAAAGAGAGCAAGGGAAAAGGGGTGTGTCTGTATGTGTATGAAAGAAGGGAGCTCTTCCCCAACTGCAGCTGGATCTTGTTCCCTCTGTGCCTTTCCTAACCACACCCAGACCCATTGTTAGTCCCACAGGACTGTGACTGTGACTGTGACTGGAAAGCAAAGTGGTTTGTCTGGAGCACAAGACCTTCTGCAAGGGAAGGAGAAGGACTGAGTGAAAGAAAGACTGATCAAGAGGGAGAGAAGCTTGCTCCTGGGCGGCCAGCTGGGAATCACTGGGGAGAGTTGTTATGTCCTGGGCCTGTGATTGACAGAGCAGGTGCAGAAAGCTGCAGAGAGACCGTCCAGGCCAGACAGGCTGTCTCCAGCCTATTGCGCATGCACAAGGCGGGAAAACACGTTGCATTTATTGGCTGACGCTGTTCCCTGCAAAAGGGTATAAAAGGGATCCGCGCCATTTGTGTTGGTTCTGTTGGAGTTGAATAAAAAAGCAACTGTTGTTACTCCTGTCTCGTCTGAATGCCTTACCAATGCACAGAACAGAACACTGGTGACGAAGGTGGGATCGTGCTGCAAGGAAGCAACCACAAAAGAAGACTAGGCTGACTCACCATGGAAGGCCGAAGTGCTTGGAAGTTCGGCGTTCCGACTTGTACGACTCTTCCTGCCAGTATGGAAACGCTGGAGGAGAGCTCGACAAGATTTGCCCTGGAACCCCTTCGCAAACCTGAGCAGCACGAGGCATTGACAAGACTGCCAAGGAGGAACGATGGCTAAGATTGGGCGTTTGTCCAAATTCGATACAATGCACCCCGAACGTTGGAGTTCATATGTTGCCAGAGTAGAAAACTACTTTCAGGTAAACCAAGTTTGGGAGGACGGACTCAAAGCCGCAATGTTACTTTGTGTCTGTGGGCAAGAGACATTCGATATTCCTGAAAATTTGGTTGCCCCAGCACAGTTAGAATCCATCGCTTATATGCAGAGCTGAAAAAAATGTTAAAGGAACATTTTGAACCGCACTTCAAGGGAAGCAGTTGGGGGATATTATCGTTCTTTCTGGAAGGAGGGAGAAGTGGAAGAAATAGCTGTAAAAGCGGAAATTGGCCTGGAAACAACTAAAGAAAATCTACAAGGATACAGAGAAAAAGTAGTGATGGACTTAAGCTGTGATTTTGGGATGC